TACGATTCAACCAAATGAAAATTTAATTGACATACTACATGATTCACAATAAAGATAAGTCTTCCCATACGTATTTTTCTTTCCACGATTGCTCAGTCAGTCACTAAAGATGTTAAAAATCTGGCAGGAAAATTCAAATTCATGGCACCAGTTGAAAATCTAAATGCGATAGAAATGAGTATTTTAAGTATATTAAGCGTTGATCATGAAGATGATAGAACAATATTAATCGTACACTTATCACTCGTGAATAATATTTCTTATAATTTATACACATTGCGAGCAGTAATAATACGGCAATCAGAAATAAATGAAAGTGATTGTTAACAACCACAATACTTATATTTATCAGCAGCCACGGACCATCACTCATACTTGCAATTAAATTATTTTAACTATGATTAATGTGAAAAGACTAGGTGCGGTTATGTCTGCTCTGCTAATAAACCCTTAAAAAAACTTTATTTTAGTAACAGAAGTGAAATTTTTATGCTCACAAGACCAGGAGCCGCAATATTAAAATATTGTGCTATAATATGTGTATAAAGAAAAGAAACTCAATGGATTGGTTGACCAGCTGATAATCATGGTTTTATTAAACATACAAACAGGTAAAAATAAATATTATACATCCCAATAATATAGATCAGCAAGAAAGAATTTAAGAAATCAGGTTATAAGGATTAACTAATAGATGCATTGGAAAAACTCAAGAATTTACATTGACTAGTGAACACAAACTTATGACTCACATACAGTACACTTACAAGGCAGCCGTTACTTTTTATCTGTCTAAGCTACATAAGCCAATCAAAAACCTGGATATTTTTAATTGTGCAAGTAAAGAAATTTAGGAATGAAATCTTAATGATGACTAGTGAAAGAATAAGGAGATTAGAATACGTGACATTATGGGTCGAATGGAGGTAATACGTATTCGTAACTCAAAAAAAAAAAATTTTATTTCACACTTATTCAGACTATTATTAAGATTGTAGTGATTGTACTTGTAATAATATTAATCATTGAAAGAATAAAGGATTACATTAAAAGAAAAACTATTTAAAAAATATCCAAACAATCTGCTAAACTAGTTAAGAACTTAGTCTGTACTGAACCAAAAGTTTTTAAAGAAAAAGAGACGCTACATAAAGAAATTAGTTTACAAGAAATTTTTATACAGGCAGAAGAAAAAACAAGAACACCTAAGTCTCATTCGTCCAAAAAAATACACAGTTCAACATTTCTACGAAACACACCACAGAAATTAAAAATCGATAACACAGATCGATAATAATAAAGGGAGCATTAGGGGAATGCCAATAGTGTTGAATTTTAACAACCGTACACAGAGAATGGTAACTGCTGTTTATTCTACTGATTCATTTTTTTGCGCACTCCAAAAAGCGCTTCCCGAAAAAAAGGAATTGAAATTATTTTTGAATCCAAAATGAGATCTACCGTAACACAATCAGGAAAGTATAACTTACCAAATCCATTGGAAAATAATAAAATCAAAATTCCCAATACAGATTCGAAAAAACTTATTTTCTTTCTACCATGGGACATAGAAAAAAATAAGGGCAAGAAAACGAGATGTGTTGAATGGTTGTGCTAAATTTGGAAACATGAAATCTTGCTATGCCATTAAAGATAAACAAAGATGACTATCCAAAGGATGCATGCATTACGTAGACAACAAGAAAATCAGCCTAATTATAGTTTCAACATCTTAATATACTGATTAAAATTTATCCTGAATACACAGATTAAAATGAGTTCTTATCATATTTCTTTAATATTCAGTTACAAAATTTTTATGTATTTTTATAATTTTATATTTTGTAATTATTATACATAACTTTTAAACAAGTTTACTATTTAAAAGATAAGATTATGCACCATCATCACGAACCAGCATGTCTCCCACTTATAAACATTAATGTGAAAAACTAATAACATAGCTTAAACACATAGAACTTCCGCACATGTGTCTAATTGTTTGTCGTTGGTTGTTGGCCATTATTTTAACTGTAAATGTAAGTTATGTGTGGCATCATGAATTTATACAGGTTGTGTAATATATTCATAAGTATACAGTCAACATAAATGAACACACTTATGAATATATTACACAACCTGTATAAATTCATGATGCCACACATAACTTACATTAAAAGTTACAATAATGGCCAACAACTAACGACAAACGATTAGATAGATTATAGTGTTGAAGGATGTTGCCTTGATTTTTTTATCCAAGGATAGCACAGTTGGTTAATGCTCAAGAAGATTCTACGAAATATAAAACCTCGAAATGAATACAAAAATAACCATGTGTGATAGAGAACTCGAGTTACGAAACTTTATGTTACTCACGCAAGAAGCTGAAACAGCTGCAATACATCTAAAGTTAACTCTAAAATTACAAGAATCAATAATCATTCATAATAATCTAAAGAATATTGAAATAAAATCGGGTTATAGTAATGACGAAACATACTACGATGATTTAAGAAGGTAAATCACAGTAATAATCAAATGAACATTATAGCGTCAGTTACACTATAGATTTTTTTAAATATGTCTTGATCGAAGATATTTATTTTTAAAACAAAAAACAAATACGTAAAGATATAATTTGTGTGCATATTATGTAATAAAGAATGGGCCAAAGATATGCGTCGTCGTAGAGTATTACATAACTCAGACACCAAAAGAAAAGGAAGAACAACATCAAGCTATGGAAGAGCAAAATACTGCAGAAGATCTACTGACAATGATCACAAATAAAACCATTCCGAGGAAATTAATTAAGAAAGTATCAGTAATTGAGATACCGGATGAATGAATTAAGTTTATGATGACTTTCGGACCACTAAGCAACAATAATTATATGACTCTTCCGAATAAAAGAAGTAAGAGTAGGACCATGTACATGGTATTCGCTACTTACTGCAATGAAGAAGCGACGAAATGAACACTCGACGGTGAAAGGAGGTTTGGGACAAAAGTTCAAACTGTAGAATCGTGTCGAAAAAATGCATACTATATTTGAGCATATCAGGACTGCACATGAATTTTTTCAGATTTTTTACCCAGGGAGATTTTCGTGAAAATAATTATTAAATATTGACAGTTTAACACGGTCTCTTATGAGAAAACAAGGTTAAGTTGCCTTTTAATTAACAATTAGGGCACATTATAAATGTGTTAGATTAAAACAAACTTTTTATAGATGCTTTAGTACAAAAGGAAGATGCTTAACGACGAAAAATCACGACTGTCCAGGCATTTAAAAAAAAAAAATATAATCAATTACAGTCGTACAGTTTGAAGTTTGTAGAGTGCAAGAGGAGGTGCACAGTAAAGGAGGCACATCTATGCGGGCAGAGGGGACCTCCCGTTCCTCACCTATCTGAATAATACTCCCAAACCTCCTAAAAAGATCATGGTGCCCGATAGTCAGAAAATGATAATAAACGTCTGAAAGAGACGATGACCCATTCTTTTCATGAAAACTTAATAAGAAAGCAGATTTCTAAGTGTATCGTCTGTAATAAAAAAATGCGAAGAACTATAAGAAGGCTATGATCCATCGGCAATGAAAACACTAGTCTGGTTAAGTATTTTTGGCACTAACAATTATGATTTAAAACAGGGCTTATAAGCAACCTCAAAACTTTCAACAAACTAATAATAAATTAACAGCTCGAGAAAGAAAAAAAACTGCTAAACTCACCAACACTGACAACTCAAGCAGCCTATAAGGAAAAAAGGACTCGTTTATGTAATAGAAGTATAAAAGAAAACAACCACTACTTAGTTACATATACCCTCATACTTGTATATCAAGTGAACATATTAATATGTTTTCATTTATGATCTACATCAAATACGTTTATTATTACACATACATAAATATAAACATTATTTACACTTTCTATCTTTTTTCCTTTTGCATAGATCTATATATATTTGTAACCAAATTCAAAAAAACTAAAAATAATTTGTTCATGATTTCATATTATAAATGTTTCACTAAGGACTTCAGTAGTTTTAAGAAAGGAAGGATGTCGAGTGACGGCTTTTTGATTCACTTGTAATTAAGTATAGGTGATTTCCCAAATGCTGAATTAAGTATTTCATGGCTTGTGACAGTAATATACAACAATGTACAAAACGGCTTACGAACACATGATTTAGCAGTATGGTCTAAAAATATAAAATCGAAATAGTTACTTAATAAGAAAAATAATAGAGATTGACTGAATAGTGAAGATGTCGAAATTCGACTAAATCGAGCTATGAGGCTCAAAACGCATGGTCATCACGTATTGCTGTTTTTATCTTAGTTCAAAGTTATGAAACTAAACGCTCACTGCAGAACATTATACATTGAATTGAAAACAATTGCACTGAATTGCTTTTTTGTCTTGAAGTAAAAAAAAAAAAAATAAATAAATACATAGAAACTTCTATGTGATTATCATATTGAAGAAAAGAATAGAAATATACGAATTGTCACATCTTATTTCTCACAAATAGTTCTTGTAAGTGACAGTGGATACTCTCGGTAGACTTTCATTAAAATTAATGAATTAAGCTACAACGATTCTTATTTTAAGTTAAAAAATAAACAGTTTACTCAACGAATGTATGATTGAATAGATTACCTTCAAAGTGTCAGAATTCAAGTATGAGTCCATAAAAAATGTGAATTCGAAGTTTTATGATTTTTATACTTGTTACCTCAACTCTTGCTTTCTTTAATAATTCAATATTAGAACTTTTTCTTTCTTAAGAAATATATTTTTTTTTTTTTATTAATCGAAAGTAAGGTCAAGGTTTATTTATTCAGCTTGAACTACTGCTAACATTAATATAACATTTGGATGTATTTTTCTTTTTAAAATGTAATACTTAAAGAAAAAGGATTTAAAAAAATTGTTTTCATGCTAAATATTTTGGTTGTACAAAGAACGTTAAAGTTACAATGATCATGTTTTCTTATTATTTATTACAATCAACTTTTCCAATAACTTAAAGAAAATTTTTAGATAAATAATAGTGTGTATAAAGTATTCTAGTGAAGATTAATAGTTGTAAGGATATTTTGAACGTATTCTACGGCCTCTGGCTCCTCGAACTCGTATACTGTCACTTGTTGAACCTCTAGCTGTATGACTTCGTATTATTCCCTGTCCTGAAACAAATTTAAAAAATGTAATAAGAGCTTGAAATAAAGCTGCAATTGATGTCATCATATTATTAAAGCCACAATTAGGTTGGATTTACTTGAATAACAAAAAGGAATATTTTCATATTTAAGAAGCAAGGGGTGTTATGAGATAACATGTGAACAACACTTACAAAGAATTGCATACAACCTCATTTAATTCTAATGGTATGTTTGAATTAAATTCTCTTTTCAACGGTTTTATTACATAATTTATCATTCAATTTAAAAAAGCACGAGATTTGTTCTTGCTTTTGTCAGAAAAAAAACACATTAAAAAAAAAAACAAATAAAGCGTCAAAATTTGTTAGAAATTTTATGAAAAAGAAAAAAAGTACTAATCTCAACCATCAAACCTTGACCTTTTCTTTCCCGAGAACTGACACTTCTTCTGTCGCCATTTTTCTGTACCGTATTGCTTGCATTTTTTTATCATACGTCAATTCATACAACTACTAACTTTAGGTAGAATAAGTTAATGAAAGATAAATTTTTCAAGGCCTTTTGCGAAGGTTGTACATACACTTTACCAGAAAAAAGAGGCCTAGGTTTAAGCCCTGTCCAAGATCAGTTTTTTTTTCGATGCTCTGTGAAAAATTTCTAATAAGTATACATGCTTCTACCGTCGTTAAATACGAAAATCTGTCGGCATTCAGAGCTGGGTTAACTTTGTATATTCATTCCATATTTTATATGTTTTTATACTATGAAATGTATCCCATCGAATAGACACCAAAAACGCAGCAAATCTTAAAGCATACATTTTTGAAGTGAAACTTCTTATAGTAGGCCATGAACAGCCGCATGAGGGGAAATGCGTTACGAAAAAACGTAGCCACCCACTCTGCGGCCCAAGCCATCTACTCAATCTCCTCTCTTACGTACTCCCTCCCTCTATCTTGCAGCGCGCGCCGCTGTACTGTTTACTGCTTCGTCTGTCTCTCTCGCATGTACGCCACGTGCTCCCTTTCCTTAACGCTGCTACTATAACTGTATATAGATATACATATATTATAGGTATGCATGTTTCTACTTTACGACTAAACCGACGCGCTTGCTCAAGCTGATTGAGGTGCAAAAATATATGTTACACGGATTCATACAACCAATTGTGATAATTCTAAAAATAATTAATCATATCTCAAAGGTAAAGCTACATCCTACATATTCTACGATTAAATTTATTTATTATATATTCTCTATCATGTATTATAAGAATAATTGTCACGTGACTAAAACATATATTCTTATTAGTAATTTTGAGATTAGTAAAAATTAGTTATAACTATGGGTAAATTTTATTATTAAATCATAAATAATCATAGGAAACGAACATAATTATAAATTACACCTTTACAATGGAGAATAGCTGCATGTCTATTGTTTTTCTCAATCTCAATCAGATAGAGTGGATTGTTACTTTTATGGTAGCCAAAATTAAAAAAAAATTTTATTTGTCAGGTACAATGCTTCTAACAAGAATTGATTGCACATATACATGTCGTATCAAATGCAGGAATAGTAATTACCTTTTTTCAGGGTAGTATGTCGAAAATTTTTGTTTCGTTTTGTATTACATGACCAACAATTCGTACATGTATTAATTCATATATCATAGCAAATATATAAGTACTTAGAATGGGCGAATCAGGTGTAACACAAATAGTATGAATAAGTATATGTATTTTATGCACGCGCGTGCTCGAATATGTAATAATAATAAAATTTTTACTATTTTAATATTGGATTCTGAAAGACCTATTAAAATTAGGTGTACTCCAATTTTCTCAGTTTCTGTTATACCGAGTTTAATGATATTTGAGTTGGAAGTTTCACTTCTGCCAGGGGTCCCGAGACCCACAACTAGTTTTTTTATGTGAATCTACTAGTGGCACCACCATCTGTATCAAAATAAATTTATGTGGATGCAAAATTAACATTTGAAAGTGTAGCATGTTGGTAGTCAAAAAGTAAGTTAGTTTTGTCTTGCATAGTATTAGTCAGAAAAATTTTCCAATCAAAGGATTATAAATCCATGTTAACTTGAAACTTTAGGTTAAAACTTGTAAAAAGTTAAAATCAACGTTATTTATTCTGTTTTTTTCATTATCATGATGCCATCGTGATTCTAACACATACATAAGAATATATACTCAGGAATGTACAAATTTAGTCACTGTTAAACACAAAATCAAGAAACAAATCTGATAAGATAGACGGAAGAGATAGGACAGAGCACAGTGGGAAGCTTACTCTTAAGTAGTTACTCTTAAACAGCTTCTTTTAATCATGGGGCAGTGAAGTCAAGCTACTGATGTACAATCGATCTGTAATATTTAATTAACTATGTCCCTATATTCAGAGAATCAAGAGATACATAGGTGTAAGTTTTTAAAAAACAGATTTTTAATCTGAAAAATACTAACTTATTTGAATGAAAAGGGAAACCTAATCTTTTTCTTGATCAATTATTGGACAACTTTTATTTTATAACAGTAATTTAATGAATTGGCATCAAAGACTAAATATTATTTTTAGTAGTCTGTCTGCTATAACAACTTTAAGTGATCAGATAAGTATTATAACCATAAATAATCTTTCATAAAATGTTTCAAACCAAATAAAATTTTCTTTCAGCTAAGTGACTCAAATGACAGAAACTGTTTTGCCTAAGACATGTAACAAAAAATATGTTATTATTATACATATACGAGTTTCTCTACCTTAAATAAAAACTTTAAATCTGTTTTATCAGACTATCATGTACGTTGCGGAAATTTCAATACCAAACAAGGAAAGAAATTGCATTACAAGAGTAGCCTTACCATTGTTGAGCTTTGGCACACTAAAAAAACAAATTCTGTAATATATGAGCTTGAACATGCTTTTATTAAAGAGAGAAACATATCTAAAACAGAATTTGCTTAAAAGAAAATATTTTTACCTCAGTATTGATATGTGGAAAATGAGGTCCTCATAACTATACATTCGGTATAAGTACCTCATGAGAGATATGTACTATAATATACAAAAAAAAGTATTTAAAATAACTTATTCCATGTACGCCATACACCATAACTTTTTATGGTGAAGCACTTTTTTTAATAATTTGAAATAATTATTGTCAAATGACAATGCATAGCAAATAATGACGTATCATAATAATAAATTTACTTGGAATCTATAAACCTTGGGTCGTACATAAGCATTGGAATAAAATTTATGGGAAACATATCTGGTTATTCACTAATGTTTCATCTTACTTTTATCAATTTTTACATACAGTGAAAATGTTAACATGGATTAATAAGTTTCACTGTACATCTGCGTTTTAATTACATAATCACCTAACCTCATAAAATCTATCGAACTTATAATGGCATGCCCACATAAAGAATACGAGGTACTAAGGTACTTAAACGATTTGTTCTTATCATACATGATGTAATGTAACGTCTATCAGAGATGTATACCTTGCCTATCCTTGTAGATAGCGTAGTAAACCATGACATGATACTGCATAACAAACAGTAAGCTTAGTCCGTAATTCACGCGCAAGCGAATGTTTCAGCACGTTCTAAAATCTACATGTACACGTGAATAATAGAGTTATAAGTATTGATAATTCTTGATTAATTTGCGGTTATTGCGATAAATATATTAAAAAATATTGACTGAGCAGCTCAGCCGATAATGAATTCAACATTTCTCGCAAATTATTCAATATGAATCGCTGTATCACGATTACGATTTCTTTGTTGTTTTAGTTCAAATTTTTTTTTTTATAAAGTACCATAGATTTTGAAATGCTTTTTTCTTTACCATACAAGGAAAACCAAAGAACAAGGATGTCTGTGGGCATTTCTACTGTTGCTTACAATTTATAATTTCTTTTTTCAATAACTTAGATGATTAAAATAATTTGAAATGTCTTTAAATAATATGATGGTGTAAAATAAGTATCTTGTTTAATGTATGGGACGTTCTGGGGCTGGGAGTGAGCTGGCAAAAAGTGACAGATTTAAAATGACCGACATGCTTCCCCTCTTCCACTAAGTACCACAATAGCGGGACATGTGTATACATATATATATATATAGCTTCTGCTGCTGTTGCTGCTATAGTATTCGGAGTTGGTCGTACGAGCTCGGAAGCGGTCGAGTTTTGCCGTCTCGAAGGCCTTCTCTGATCTCTCACCGACTTCGTATTCGTATTACTACGTCGTACTATATACTCATGCGGCTGCAAGTTCCATGTACATTGTATACACATATGCGTGTGTGTGTGTGTGTGTGTACATTGCACACATACACACACACACACACACACATTATGATAAATTTCAATTAAGATTAATTACAGATCCGCAGATTTCTACAGCACGATTAAGGACAACTAAGGTAAATGTCCCTATTATGATCATAAATTTCATCATACTTGCTTGTTTGATTTTTTTTTTCTTAACTGTGAGCTTTAACAGTAGAAATTCTAGTATTAGCTGGTGCGCTATAAATTTACCATTATTATTTTAATTTTTAAATATGGTTCTTTATTGTTAAAATACTTTATTTTATAAAAAGATTATAAGACCAAAATGTACATAATTATGAAACGTTGTACCTATTGTTTCATATTATGTTTATGTCTCTATTTATGAAACTTTTTAAAAAACGTAAATTTAGTATGTTTTTATAAGACAATTAAAATTTTTTTACTTGCATCACACTACTTTATTTAATAAAAGTAATTATATTATTTATTTGTTTACTAGAAGTATATAAATTCCTTGTTGAAGTTTAGTGCCATAATACGTACAGTTCAAAAGATAGGTTATGTACTACTTTGTCCCTATTTATGGAATTATCTTTAAAATTGGTCATAGAGATAGATAAAATATGCAACTATCGTAATTTTTTTATCAAGTAAGTTGTATGATAAATACATGAATTTTCATATTCCACGAATAG